TATCCAAGAGGCGATTGGCTGGGCCTTGGCCAGCGGCGGGTCCGTCTTAAAGCCGGCTGGCGTTGGCTATGTCTGACATAGGGGAAACTTCTAGCAACGTCGTACAGAAGCCACCCCTGTAACCCCCCCGCTACCAAAACCTTGCCACGCAGACCCATTACAGGGAAAAAGTGGGGACCCCTGGCTGGACACTCCCAGGGTGCATCACTGCAGGGGGGGTGATGCACCCCTGAGTGCATCGCAGTGTCACCCACTGCCAAGTGTCCTGGGACACTCTGGGGCAGGAGGGTGGCGGGGGGCTGTGGGCTGCCACTTCCCCTTCATGCTGGGAGAAGGTTTTGCAACCTCGCTTCCTCCCCAGGCAGCATAAATTGGGCAGCGGAGGGAAGGGGCGCTGGGAAGCTGCACGGCAGCGGGTGCAGGTGAGGGACCCTCCGTCTGGCAGGACCCCGGGACTTGTTGCTGCCCTGCGTCCCGCCACACTCCGTGACAGAGCCCTTTGGGGGTGACGCCTGGATTCATCCCTGTGCCCAGGTAATTCCCAGTGAGAACTGGCTTGGGACGGGGAGAAGACCCCAGATTTGGGGGGACAGCAAAGGGCAGCAAGTGGTGAGTCCTCGGGGTGCTCCACTGGAGATGGGGCTTTCCTCGGGCTTTGCTGGCCCCCCAGCACGTGGCTGAGCACTGTTACATGCAGAGTGGGCTGGGCCGGGGGCTGGGGTGGGCTGCTCTATCTTCCCAAGGGGCTGCCTGGTGCAGGGGGAGCAGGAGGTGATGGGTGGGGGCACTCAGGAAAAGGGCAGCAAGTGGTGAGTCCTCGGGGTGCTCCACTGGAGATGGGGCTTTCCTCGGGCTTTGCTGGCCCCCCAGCACGTGGCTGAGCACTGTTACATGCAGAGTGGGCTGGGCCGGGGGCTGGGGTGGGCTGCTCTATCTTCCCAAGGGGCTGCCTGGTGCAGGGGGAGCAGGAGGTGATGGGTGGGGGCACTCAGGACTGTGCTCAGGGCTCATCTGGAGTGCAACGCCCCCGTGGTCCCGTGGGTTGGGTGCCCCCGGGTGGAAGCACCCGCTCCCATTTCATCGTGCAGCGATGAGCTGGGAGGGTGCTTCCCCACGGCGTGTTCCTCCTGCCTCTCCACAGGAACCCTCAGCACCTCCCCAGTGTCCGCCAGCCCTTCCCTGGGCCAGGAGGGGAAATGAGGTTCTGCTTGTTCCCTCAGCTGGGCCGCCTGTGGGGTACCTGCGGGTGGGGGATACCCGATCCTAGAGGAACTGCTGGGATTTTGGAGTGGGGAGGCAGAAAGAAGCAGTCAAAAATAGACCGAGGGGAAGTGCTGGTGTCCAGCTCTGTCCCATGCCCATGGCAGCCCCACTCGAGCGGACCTTCCCCCATTGGCACCAGCAGTGTCCCCAGCCGTGGTCATCTGCGATGCTGGGGCATCACCATCCCGAGATCACCACAGGAGCAGGGCTGCCAGAGCCAGGGAGGGATTTTTCTGGGTAGGGGCAGCAGCCCAGCCACAGAGGTGATTTCCCACCATGCAGAAGGGGAAAGTTGGTCCCAGGGAGGGTTTGGGTTCAAACGGGGCCAGCTGGGGGCCAAGAACCCCCCAGTGCTGTGGGGACTAGGCACCCTCAAGCAGCTCCGGCATCGTCAAGCCCTGAGGGGCTCGGGGGCTCAGAAGCAGGGCAGAGGGGTGAAACGAGTAAAATGAGAGTCTGGATCCATACTGGGAGAAGACTGAAACCCAATGGTCTTTGGGGAGGCAGGGACAGAGCAGGGTGTCCTACACGTGAGGAGACAGGAAAAGCGACTGTCACCTGTGATTTCCCCATTGCGGCTGAGCACAGGGGACACGGTGATGCCCGGCAGTGCCCAGCTGAGCAACAGGAAAACCAGAGACGTGAAATATTTCCAAAGCTGCCTGCAAGGGGTGACACGTCTTTCCGTCTGGTGTGTGAAACCACTTGCGCAGGGACAGAACTGGAGGGGAAGAAGGGCATGAAACCACCTTCAGATCTTCTTGAGTGCCACCTGCCATGGGCACTGTGACCGCATGGGGTGGCAGGAGGAGCAGTACCAGCAGTGATGCTTGAGGGGATGGAGAGGCTGGAAGGATCCAGAGGTGCTCAAAGAACTTTGCAGGTGCCCGAGGGGCCCTGGGATGCCCAAAGAGCTCAGAGGCTTTTGAAAGACCCACACAAACCAGGGGGACCCAGGGATGCTGGAGGGATCAGGTGCCTCCTGGAGGCACATGATGCTGCATTGCTGGGGGAGTCCCCCAACCTGAGAAGAGGTGGCTGGTCGGTGGGGGAACGCCTTCCTCCATGGGAGACAGGGAAGGGACACAGTTGAGGTGAAGTGGACTAGAATGAGGGGTGCTGGGGGTGTCATACAAAGGGGCGTATGAGGGACAGTGTCCACCTGCAGCACTGCCCATTGGCACAGTGTGGATACAATGGAGTGATGGAGGGGGGCTGCCTCACCGCCTGGGAGTGGATCTGGGAGGCAATGGAGATGCTAGGGGACCCAAAGATGCTGTCACCCCTGGCCCACACCACCCTCCCTCCCTGTACGCATGCTGCTTTGTGCTCCACAGGCAAAATGGAGTCCTTCTCCTTCAATGGGGATTTCTCCAACATCTTCTCCCTCTACAACTACACCTATGACTACAGCACGGCCATGCCCGACACAGCTATCTCCTCTGCGCCGTGCCGGCCCGACAGCTCTGTCCTCAACAAATACCTGGTGGTGGTGATCTACTGCCTCGTCTTCATCCTCAGCGTGGTGGGGAATGCACTGGTGGTGCTGGTGGTGACCTCCAGCCACACCAACCGCTCTGTCACCGACGTCTACCTGCTCAATCTGGCCGTGGCAGACCTGCTCTTTGCCTTCAGCCTGCCGCTCTGGGCCGCCTACCGAGCCCATGAGTGGGTCTTCGGCACCGTGATGTGCAAAGCCATCTCTGTGCTGCAGGAGGCCAACTTCTACAGCGGCATCCTGCTGTTGGCCTGCATCAGCGTGGACCGCTACCTGGCCATTGTCTATGCCACCCGGGCTGCCACTGAGAAGAGGCACTGGGTGAAGTTTGTCTGCTTGGGCATCTGGGTCTTCTCCGTGCTGCTTTCTCTGCCTGTGCTGCTCTTCCGTGAGGCTTTCACCTCGCCCAGCAACGGCACTGTGTGCTATGAGCGCATCGGCGGTGAGGACACGACCAAGTGGCGGGTGGTGCTGCGGATCCTGCCGCAGACCTTCGGCTTTGCCCTGCCCCTCCTGGTGATGCTCTTCTGCTACGGCGTCACCATCCACACCCTCCTGCAGACCAAGAACACCCAGAAGCAGCGGGCCATGAAGGTCATCTTTGCCGTGGTGCTGGTCTTCCTCATCTGCTGGCTGCCGTACAACATCACGTTGGTGAGCGACACCCTCATGAGGACGCGGGCCATCGCTGAGACCTGCGAGAGAAGGAACCGCATTGACACAGCCCTCTCCGTCACACAGGTCCTGGGCTTTGCCCACAGCTGCATCAACCCCATCATCTATGCCTTCATTGGGCAGAAGTTTCGCAACAGCTTCCTCAAGATCCTGGCACAGCGTGGGCTCATCAGCAAGGATGCTGTGGCCCGCTATGGCCGCACCTCCTATGCCTCTACATCTGGCAACACTTCCACCACCCTCTGAGCCCTGATGGGACCCAACCCTCACAGCTCCCAGCAGGTTCTGGCACCCCACACACCCCAGCATCCTCACCCAGCCCCCTGGGATGCAGGCAGCAATGCCACAGGGATGGGCATGGCCCCCACTGGATGCTGGACCCCGGCTGGAAGGGGGCTTGGGCAGCGAGTGGATAGGACCTCATTGCCAGGGGAGTGATGCCAATTGCCACCCACCTTCCCTGCTCTTTGGGGTAGAGCCTGTGACTTTGGGGACCCCGTGACCCTGCTATGGGGATGGTGTTTGTGGCCAATAGCCACCCAGCAATAAAACAGTTGGGGGGGGTTAGTCACCCAGGGCTGGCTCCTCTTTGCCACAGGGAGGAAGATGGTGGGACAGGGACAGGGCATATCTCCAGGGATGGTGGTTCCTGGGGTCCCCACCTCAGTGGTGCCAGCTGAGCCCGGTGGGGTGTGGGTAGAAGCCAGGGAAGGGCTGTTGCCCAAGAGGCTGTTGCAGAGAGTTCAGTATCCTGTGCGTCCCCAGAGGGGACCCAAACCTGGATCTCACTCCCTGCAGCCACCCAGCCAGGTCTTGGCGTTTCCCTGGTGTGTGGGTCACCATGCAGCGTCTGTCTCACCTGGGGACAAAGCCACCCTGCTCCTGACCCCAATCTGAGCCTCAGTGGAGTAAATCACCGCAAGATCCCTGGGCAGCCCCTTGCTAACACCAAGCCAGCCCTGTGACCCCTGCCCAAAGGGTGCTGGCCCCATGGGCACCCCCTGCCCCACCCCCGATGCTGCGGTGCCAGGACATTGTTGTGCAAAGGGCTGGGAACCTGTCCCTTACACAACTGGGACATTTCCGCCCCATCTTGGGCAACTGGGGCTGGTACTACAGCGGGGCAGAGGGGCTGAGGAGAGGGCTGTGACCCTGCTGGGGTCCCTCCTGCCACCTTGCTTGCCAGGCATTAGGGTGCCTCCCCCAGCACACCCAAGCATCTCTCCATGGGGGTCCCGTACTGCTTCTCCATCCTCCCTGCTCTGTGCTCCCAGGGATCCTTAACCATGGAGGGGCACCAGCAGGTGCCAGCCGTGAGCTGGCTCATGGTTGGATATGGGGGTCCCCTGGCAACCATATGGGGAGCCCTGGGGACATGGGGCTAAGCAGGGTCAGCAGGGGTGTTGTGCAGAGACAGCCCATCACCTTTGCATCTGGGAAACCTCTTGCCCAAGCGGTTCCTCACAGCCTGGCAGGAAGCCGGGGCTGTTGGCCAAGAGCTGTCTCCCCTGCCCGCTGTGGCCTCCTGCAGTGGGACAGAGCAGATGGTGGCTCAGCCTGGCTGCAGCTGGGACACCCCTTCCCCCCCAGGAGGACTCGGACATCCCCATACTGGCATTCCCCCACCCTGCATCCAGCCTGGGAATCAATCTGGTGACAACCGATAGACGACACAGGAGCCACAGGGGTAGCAGGAGTGTGTTATTTCCCTCTCTGTGGACCAGCCATAGGAAAGACACATCCCAAACCCAAAACGTTGGGCAGCAGGACCTGCCTGCAGGCCTTGGATGCCTGGGTCCCTGGTTAAGTCCAAGAGGAGGCAGCCAGGGCAGGGGGTGTCCCATGCACGGTGCGAGGTCCCAGCTCATGTAGCTTGTGGGTGCCTTTGCTGGTAGCAAAGCAGGCAGCAGCGCCCCTGCTTGCCTACATCCACGGAGCACGCGTGGCACACCTTTCCCTGGCACAGCCTGCCGAGACAGCAGGCGGTGAGAGCCGTGCCGTCCCGGTGCCATGCTGGTGCCACCCCCGGTGCCCCCTGTAGCCCACCTGCAGTTGTACCGCCGGGAGAGGAGACGGAAATCCTTGCGGCAGCGAGTGCACAGTCCTGCATCGTGGGGCGCCGGGCTGGGCGTCGGGGGGTCGATGCCTTCTGTCTTCTGCCACAGGGCATCCTTCTCTCTGCAGGAGGGGACAGGTCAGCTCTGGCAGGAGCATGCCCAGTGGTGGGGGTCCAGGAGCACACCCTGGCACCCCAGACCCAAGGTGGGCACCAAAGTCTCCCCAGGGTGGTGAGCGGGATTTGCCTGGGCTCTGGTGCCCTCCTCTGGGCAAAGGGATTTGGGTCCCCCAGTCCGTGCGTGGTCCGGCAGCGACGGGGTTCCCCGGGATCTCACCGCAGCAGCTCCAGCAGCCGCTCCTTCATGTCACGGATGAGCTCCTGCTGCCGTGCCT